TTTTTCAGACAGGGGTTTCCCTAAATTACTAAATTGCCCAGGGTGAGTTCAAATTTGCCACCCTTCTTCCTCAGCCATCCGGGGTGCTGGGATTACAGGAATGCACCACCATACCTGGCTAACATACTGGTTTTAAATATATCCCGTTTATGTAGCAGAACGCCTTGTTTTGCAGGAAACACATGCTAAAGCATCAAGGGCATCAGGTCGGTAACTTATCAAATGATGGGGGAGGATATATTGGTACTAGTCTTGCAACATTACCTTGAGTTTGAAATTTTTTGAAGTATACCACTTTGCCTTTCGAATGGTCTTGTTAGAATGTAGTTTATATTTGCAATGATTATGTTGGATGTGGAATTACAGATATTGGGTCTACACATTGGAAGAAGAGCATATTCCTGGGATGAGGAAAAGTGTGCCCCAAAATACACTGGTCCCCATGCCTACTGCCAGGAAGATCTCGTCCATTTCAGGAGTTAGGAGAGACCTGGGGCAGAAGCAGGAGTTGAGGCCTTGCTCTCCCAGTGTATAACAGAAGAAGAAAAGGTGATACTTGAAAGGGGAATCACTCTCCTCTTTGTTTTCCTCCTTTCTGTGGTGCTGAGGATAGAACTCAAGGCCTCATGCATGCTGGGCAAGTGCTCTACCACTCCAGTCTAACCCAAACCCCTACTCTATTCCTTTATACATGAGGAAATTCACCCAGGAGCTTGAAGACAGTCCTCGTCCTCACAGGCAGAGCTGAATTAGAATCCGAAGACCAAGACCATACTGCTTGCACAAAAGCTTCTTAAAGTATGTATGATGTCTATATTTGTGTATGTGTTTGTTTTATTTGTTCTAAAATCATTCTGTTTTGTTACATTTATCAATGGCAAAGGTGGTAATGAACGGAATAAGCCAAAGATAAAGAGGGGTGGGATTTTGCCTACTCTTACTCCTTGTCATGTCCCCAGGGCTGAGAGCCAGCACATGGTAAGCATTCTTTGAAGGCCTGTTGAATGAAGCTATTCTAAACTTGTAGAGAAAAAAGCCAGGACTCAGGCGAATTATTTGCTCTTTCTCTCCAAAACAGCCTCAGTCTCCCCTCTGTCCCAGGAGACATAGTTTTAACCTGAGCAAGTCTGGCCATGTGAGGTCACCTCAGGGAGAACTGCAGAAGACCCCACAAAGTCCCAGCTCTCTGGAGGCTGAAGTAAGATGATCCCTGTGAGTTTGAGGCCAGCCTGGGATACATAGTGAGTTCAAGACTAGCCTGAACTACACTGCAAGACCCTGTCTCAAAAAGGAAAAAGGGAAAAAATACCCTGCAAAGACGTCTCAAATGCCCCAAGGTCTACATCACATTTGGTTCTCAAGATCTCCTTTTTATATTTACTGTAGCTATTTAAATGAAGTTGGCATGCTCGCTTCAGCAGCACATATACTAAAATTGGAACAATACAGAGAAGATTAGCATGGCCCCTGAGCAAGAATGACATGCAAATTCGTGAAGCATTCCATAGTTTTAAAAAACAGCATGTACTGGCAAAGAAAAAGACCGAAGGATCAGTGGAACAGATTAGAAGATGCAGAAAGAATTCCTGATATACTCACCTGCCTCATCTTTGACAAAGGGGCCAACCATCCTCAGTGGAGGAAAGATTGCCTCTTTAATAAACGGTGTTGGAAAAACTGGATTTCAACCTGCCAAAGATTAAAACTAGACCCTTATCCTTCACCATGCACTGAACTAAAATCCAAGTGGATTAAAGATCTAAATATTAAAACAGGAACACTAAACTTGCTGGAAAATAAGCTAGGTAAAACTCTTGAAGACATTGGCGTAGGAAAATACTTTATGGACAAATCCTCAGGAGCATGGGAACTAACACAAAGAATAAACAACTGGGATCTCATCTTTTTAAAAAGCTTCTGTTGTTATTTGTTTGTTTGTTTTTGGTTTGTTTTTTTGGTACCAGGGATTGAACTCAGGTCCTTGTGCTTGCAAGGCAGGTGGCGGAACCACTAAGCTAAATCCCTGACCCTTTAAAAACCTTCTGTACTGCAGAAGAAACCATCAACAAGACAAGGTGAAAAACAGCGATAGTAAAAGCAGAATCTCTCCCCTGTAGTGCTAAACAATGCAGCGAACAATTAAGTTACACAAACCCTTACTCATAATACGGTGTGGGAACCTGTCTAGTTACAATGAATGGATACAGGAAATGTAGTAAATGCAGGTCATGGAATGTTATTCATTCATAAAAAGAAGACAATTCTACCATATGGGACAACATGGATAGACAGGGGGAATATTTTATTAAGTGAAATAAGTCACGGACAGGCAGAAGAACTGAAAAAAAAATTTTTTTTTGTACCGGGGATTGAACTCGGGTCCTTGCACTTGCAAGGCAGGCGACGGAACCACTCAGCTAAATCCCGGCCCAAGAACTGAAAATTTGAGCCCAGCCTGGGCAACTTAGCAATGTAGTGAGACCCTGTCTCAAACAAGTACAGCTGAGGATGTAGCTCAGTGCAAAGACCCTGGGTTCAATCCCCAATACCCCCTCCAAAAGAAGGACTAGACAAGTAAATGCATCCTGGAGAACACACCTAATCAGAGCTTTATAGATATTGAGAATAGAAGGTTGGTTGCCAAGGGGATAGAAACATGAGGGAGTGGCTGTTCTGTGGATGTAAGCTCACAGTTATCTGAGATAGCTAATTTTAGGCTGGGGAGACATAGCTTGCCTTACCACAAAAGAGGCCCTGAGCCCTGAGTTCCATCCCTAGCACTACAAAAGAAAACAAACAAATAAAAACAAACATGAGTAAATTCTAGTGATCTGATGTACAACATAATAAGTTTTATGCAATTAAAAATCTGAGAAACCTGAAATATAAATTAATTAAAGATCAAAGTACAGAAAAGATAATAAGAAACATGGAGATAGCTCTTTTGAAAAAAAATAAAAGGAAGGGAATTAAGAGATGGAGGGAAGGGGAAGGGAGAGTAAGAAAAGGGGATAAAAAAGAAATAGGATGATTCACGTTCCAGCTCCCCACAATGTCATTATGTACCGCAAACACGTACTGATAAAAAAGATTAAAAATCTGTCAAGTGGGTAGATCTTGTGCTAAGTTTTCTTGTTTCTCTCACGTACAGACAAAATGGACACAAAGAAACTTTTGGTAGCGATGAGTATGTCTTTGACTTGGATCCTGGTGACAGTAACAGAAATGCACATGTTTGTCCAGAGATTACCACATTGTACGCATTAATTATGCTCAGGTTTTTGCACACCAATTACACCTTAATAAATAATACATTTGGAATAAAAAAAGCAATTGGCCAGTCATAGAAGTTCCTGTATAGATTCTTCTGGTTATTTAATTCACCTTAGAGCAGTGATTCCCAGCAAAATGCCAGGCCTAGCAGCAGGAGCATCACCTAGGAACTTAGAGGTAATGCCAATTCTGTGCCCCTGCCTGAGTTGGAAACTCCACTGGTTCAGTCCCCAGCCTGTCTTATCTAGCTCTTCAAGTGGTCCTGGTGCACACTACTGTTTGCCAGCCACTGTCTTAGGGCATTACTCGGTCTTGCCAAGCTCTCCCAGTGAGCCTTGCCCCACCTTTGAGGGAACCTTGCTGATCTGCAAACTGCCTTTCCTGAAGGCACATGAACACTTTCCAAGAAAGTTTAAGAAAATCCAAGTCCCGATCCTCAAGTTCTATACACAGTATACTTTTTCCTGAAACTCATGTGCTTGAGAGGATAGTCATGGTGGAAGCATCAGACCAGTATTCTCCACCAGCTTTCTTTCACATTACTAAGGAAAGGCTAAGTGTCACCCACTGACTCTCCCTATGGTGCATTGCCCTGGGAATGTAAAGACCTCTGGGAAAACAAACAAAGAAGCAGTTTGAAATACAGTGCTGATGTTAAAAAAGTGGATGACTCTAATCAGGACTGAGTAACAAATCCCTTTGCAAGTAGGTGATGTTTAATGCTTTGCTTTCAACAAAATTGCAGAATGTCTTAGTTGTATTTATTGCTAGCTGACTGATCATTAGAAACATATTTCAACGTAAATCTGGTATGCTGATGGTGGGAATATGAGACCACACAGCCACTGTGAAAGATAGAAGGCTATTTCTCACAAAGATTAAAACTAGAATTATATCACCCAGCGGTCACTTCTGCTTATACGAGCAAAAGAACTAAAGGCACATTTTCTCAAACACTTGTATTCACAGCAGCATTGTTCATAATAGTCGAAAGGGGGAAGCAACCTAAGTGTTCACCAAGAGAAAAATGGATAAAGAAAATATTCTACGTTTGTACAATGGAAAATCATTCTGCCATAAAAAGTAAAGAGCTCTGACCTGCCCTACAATAGGAAAGAAACTTAAAGGCATTATGCTAAGTGAGAGAACTCAAAGATGGGCTCAAGAGATGGGGAAGGGCGAGAGGGGAGGGAAATGGGTGAAGAAAGGAATTGAGATGTGTTCTGTATGGGAACCAGCTCCACACAAGGAGTGTAAACACTATGTACTGCAAACAGACACTGATCACAATATATAAATATTTGCCAGAAATGAAAAATAAGAACAAATATTGTATGCGTCCACAAATATAAGGTACATGTAGTAGGCAAATTCATAGAGACAGAAAGTAGAACGCTAGTTTTGAGGGACTAGAGGCAGGAAATGGAGACCTAGTGTTTAGAGAAGGAGGAGTTTCGTTTTTGGAAGATGCAGAAGTTCTGCAGATGGGCGGTGGAGATGATTGCACTACAGTGTGAATGTTTTACGGCCTCAGAACGGTACGTGAACATGGCTAAAATGTTAAATTTTATGATGATTATTTTAGCATAATAAAATTGAAGAGTACACACACACACACACAAACCTATACATACTTTAGGCAAAGAAGAATTTGTATAAATATTTTAATATTAAATGTATTGAGAAATCATGAGTTCATACAAGTTACCTTTGGCCTCTATAATCACAAGAGGTGCTCAAAGCAGTGGCCAGTAGCTCGCCGACATTTATTAGTACAGTAAACTGCCGCCCTCTTGGTCACTGAGGTTGCTGCACTTGCATTTTCAGTTTCTTCTGTAAGGGCCGGCAGTGCGGTGGGTTTTCTGTCATAGGCGACATCCTCTAGGGTCCCTAATAAAGAGGGAAACAGCATCTGTTGAGAAACATCATACTATTTTTCTTTTCCTAAAGTGTGTATACATTCCTTTGGCAGATTCTGTACATATCTCCATGACGATAAGTATGTGATTCTGCGGAGCATGTAACAGGTAAAGGATTTTCAAAGGCAGGTGATATTGTTTTAACAAAATTCACTGCTTCCAGTTCAATATACTTATCTATGAGAACGAGGTTTCTTTGTATTTATATCTATAAAAATGAAAAACAGAAATAAAATCAGTGTTGAGTCCTTTCTCACTCCAGCAATAAGCAAGTTATTTTTGGTACATGAATTAGTTGAACAAAAAAGCCTCATCCATTTTCCTGACATGTTTTTCCCCCCAAAAAAATCATACTTCAAAAAAAGTAACAGTTTTTTATCAGAATTTGTAATATACATATGTTATTTTCATCTGTTGTATCCACTAATAGTTTTCATAATAATTTGATCCAGGAGAAATTTTGGTACCTATAATCTAATGGATACACATGTCTAAACTTTTAATTTAAATTTATTTTAAGAGATACATGAAAACATTAAAAATTATTATATTATTATTATATTGCTCAGGTAATGTGATGGTTAAATGTATGTAGGTATTGTAGAATGTTCAAATCAGGGTAGACATATCTGTCTTCAAACAGTTATCATATTTCTGGAAAGAGCATTAAAAAATCCTTGCCTTAAGCTTTTTGAAATGTACAGTGCGTCATCATTACTTACAGAGACCCACTGTACATTAACACATCAGTTTCTTGCTCCTGTCTACAGTCCATTGAGCAGCTTCTTCTGAAGTCTGCTTTCCTCAGTTTAAACACTTTAAATTTCGACTTCTACATGTAATTTTGTTGGAGAGTGCTATTATCACTGGTGACCAGTCAGAATTTCAAACAAAAGAATACAGTGATGCAGCATTCTATTAATCTGGTTGTCAAGGCATATCTATGATAATTTAATTTAAAAGGGCTTGTAAATAAATGGATCTAATGCTGGCAAAACAAAAAAAGGCGGTGGAGAGGAAAGGGAAAAAATGAATTGAGATGTGTTCCGCACATGTAACAATTCCCCACAATGAATGTAATTATTATGTACTGCAAGCATATACAAATACACTTTTTAAAGTACACATTAGGAAAAGGTTTTTTGGGGTTTTTTTTTTTGTTTGTTTGTTTTGTTTTTAGAGACAGGTCTCACTATGTAGTTGAGATTGCCCTGGAACTCACTATGTAGCCCAGGCTGGTCTCCAACTCACAGGGATCCTCCTGCCTCAGCCTCCTGAGTGCTGGGATTAAAGGCATGTGCCATCACGCTCTGCTTAGCAAAAATTTTTTAAAAAGATTCTATGTGGATTTAAGAAGAAAAGGGAGTAGTGGAATATTTCTGACTGTTGAAGAAAAGCTTATATATGTATTTTTGGGTACCTTTGGATGTGGAACAGTCTTATTTTAGATAATAATATCTATACCATGATGAAAATTGCATCCTTTGCAACTCAAAATTTAAATTTATGCAGAAAAAAACTTTACAGCCAAATCAAACATCTGAAGGATGCTTATTTTTTTCCAAAATTATTTTTGGGCACAAATGAGTAAAAATAGTTTTATTACTATTTGTTGTAATTTCTTCTTTCCCATTTCTTCTCACACTGGACATGCCTGATTCAAGTCTGATTTTGTTTTCTCAGCTCCTTCTATCCAGAGAAAAGCTAAGTCCTCTGGATTTCAGATCAAAACCACCATTCTCAGAGAAACTCATTGAAACATCTGGATTCTCGTAGAAATAATAGTCAACCAGGGACAGAAATAATAGTCAACCAGGGACAGATCTTTGGCAATATCTGCAGATATTTTCAGTTGTTCCAAGTGGGTTAGGGTGGTTCTAGCATCTAGTGGGTAGAAAGCAGGAAGTCTAAACTTTCTACAATTCCTGAATGAAGGGATAAGTGAATGGATAAAATGGATGAAGGCGAGCTAGTTCAGGGAAACCTTTGAAGCAATCTGTGTGCTAGGAGTGCGCTAGGCCCTCAGAATATACCCTTGAACCTGATCGTCCACAGCTTGCTTTAATGGAGCCCACAGTTTATAGAGTTCCAGCCTAACTCACTGTCTTTTTCAGGCCTGGAGCTTCTGGTTTAAGTAGCAAAGACTTCTTTATTCAGACCTACATTCCTCTGGCCTTCGGAGTGCTCTAAAAGCTCTCACTTTTTTAATTACTTAGGTTAGGCTTTCTTTGTCCTCTGGTTGAGTCACTCCTCCTCCGGGAATGGCCTCAAGGCTCTCATCTCCATAACACTTCCTCCTGTGTCAAACATCAGCCAGGCTCAACAGCAGGACTCCGGAGTGGTTGCATTCCATCCCTCTGGCTCCCACCAGCTAGCTGAGAGGGAAGATCCAGGCTGCTTGCCCCAGGGAAAGCTCTTTGCCTCTAGCTTCTCTTAGAGGTAATGTGCACAGTATGTAACCTCTTTAACATACTTGATCCCTGGGTTTTAAAAATCTATGTTCAAAACAGTGGGGTCTGAAAATGCCCTTTCTTCCAAATAGTTGGTTAGTAAGCTCAGTTATTTAAACAATAACCACACAAAAGTCATTTCACAGAGGGCTCTAAGAGGCAGCTATTTCCTTTCAGGCTCCTGCCCCATCTGGGGTTCTTAAGACCTGAAGATTCCATAGGATGATCTCCGTGTTAAGGGAGTCTATGTATCTAAATATTCAGTCGTGCAGCCTTTTCAGTATCTACAATTAACAATAGCTAAGGTTTATGAGTGCTTATCATCCAGCCTACTGTGAGGGCCATGAAAGAGTGATAGTCTCAGGCTAATGAGATTCTTTTTTTTATGGGCTATGTAAATTCTCATTATCTTGGACTTTAAGGCTACCAAGTGTGCCCTCTAAGGAAAAGTTATTAATTGCCCTCCTCTAAGAAATTCAGTGTGGTGGCTCACACCTGTGATCCCAGCACTCGGGAGGCTGAGGCAGGAGGATTACTGAGTTCAAGACCAGCCTGGGCTACATAGTGAGTTCCAGGTCAGTCTCAACTACGTAGTGAGACCCTGTCTCACAAAAACAACAACAAAACAAAACAAAATAAAAAAACAAAAAACAGAAATGCTCCTGACTCTTTGATGTAATGGACATTCAGTAAGAAAAATTAAAATGCCTGCCTATCTACACACTCTTTCCTTGAAAATTGCTTCCCAGTGAAGATCTCTGGTGAAAGAAGAACCTCAGCTGCCCAAGTGAGTCCACCCACCCCCTCTCAGAACACTAAATGACCTAACTCAAGCTGGACCAATGCAATCTGGTTCCTGGAAGATGGAATTAAAAAAAACTGAACCATTTGGTTATGGCAAGGAGCCCCTGAAGAAAATCACAATATTTTATGTGCAAGGTGCTCGGTGGATTGAAAATGAGATTCTGTGAGGCGAGAAAGTAGATCAGAGGCACAATGGGAGAGAGATTATGTGACTGTCATGTAGTGTTAATTCCTGATGACCATCCAGCCACCATGGGGTCTGACTTACTTTGTTTACTTTCCCTGAGTTCTTGGATAATCCCCTGTGTCATTTTGGTCCCCAGAAACTGGCCTATGTTTGATCTATGTTGGATGAACGTCTGTTTCTTACAACTGAGGTAGGATAGAAGAAATGAAGTTAAGTAGGAAGGAGGTAAGGAAAACCATAACTAAAAACTACTTTTAAAAAGACTGCAACTTCTAGAACCAAGTTGGAAGTTACCCAAGGTGAACCATGTCAGCATTCCCTTGGTTAAATCTAAGCTCCTTTCACTCAAGACCCATTGCACGCAGAATTTCTCAGGAATACTGTAAGTCCATAAATTAGCTTTTCAATTGGTTGAAATAAAGACATCGAAGGAAACATTAAGCAGAAAAAGAACTAATAAGATTTGGGAAATTCTGTCTATGCTATGCATATTGCAAAAATTGGGAAAGCTTATTCTGGAGATAACATCAAAGGTATGGTTAGACTGTCACTCTGTGAGGAGATTCTCCATGGAGCTATTCAAACATCTCAGCAGAAATTGCAAATAGAGATGAGATTATACTAGCAGACACCACCAATTTATGAACATTAGTGGATTAATCCACTTATGGGCATAAGGCCCCCATAATCTAGTCCCTTCTCCAACAGCCTCTTAATTCCATTAAATTGACAATCAAGATTAAATGACATAAGCACCTGTGTGGGAAGGAACATGCCTAAAGATGTGTAAGTGAGGCTGGCAAGCAGTGAAAGGTCAGAGCCTCTGCTTACGAACATAGCATGATGCAGTCCTCCCAGAGGGCACAGAGGGCAGGGTATCCAGTCAATAAGGATTATTTTCCAGCCTTACATTCTAAGGGAACTCGACTTGCTAGGTTTTGTACTTGCTTGGGATGCACCACCTCTTTCTTCTCCCATTTTCCCTGTTTAGAATGAGGATGTCTAATTTATAACTGTCCCATCATTGTATTTTAGAAGCATATAACTTGGCTGGTGTCACAGATTCACAGTTGGAGTGGAATTATTCCTCATAATGAATATATGTCAAATCTTCCTTATATCTGATTGATTTAGGAATTGACCTTGAAATGTGCGAAATTTTGGGATGATGGGAATATATTTGGCGACAAAGAAGGACATGAATCCGGTAAGGCCAATGGTTCAAGGTTAGGGACTGAATTGTGCCTTTCCCCCATTCATGTACATATTGAAGCCCTAATTCACCATGTGACTATGTTTGGCAATAAGGCCTTTAGGAGCATAATTAAGGTTAAATGAGGCCATAATATTGGGCGGGGGCTGGGGATTTGGCTCAGTGGTTCTGCTGCCTGCCTCACAGCCTCACAAGTGCAAGGGCCAGAGTTCGATCCCTGGTACCAAAACAAAAAGTGTGAGGAACATTGAGTCTGTCAAACTAAGTATGCCATGAAATCATAGAGGGCAGGTCAGGGAGGTGAAGAATTCTAAGAG